TGTTCTAGAACAACTAAGCTACAAAGAACTTAGCCGATCACGTAGAGTTGAATACTGCCTTTAAGCAAAATTCTTATTGTCATAGACTCGTCATCATAAAAATATATCTCTCAAACATAAACAAAGCAATTTTCTAAAAAAAAAAATTAATGTATTTTTATTTAGTTATTAATCAGATAGCTGTTTTTCTTCATAAAGATTTCTTGAATATTCAGATATATAAAAATCACTTTAAATGTTTTATATATATATATATATATAAAATAGATATTTTATACTTTAATATGTATAATATATTTTATTCTTTAATATATATAATAGATATTTTTTCTTTAATATATATAATAGATATTTTATTCTTTAATATATATATATTATAGATATTTTATTCTTAATATATATAATATATATATATATGTATTATAGATATTTTATTCTTTTATATATATGTGTGTGTGTGTATTATAGATATTTTATTCTTTTATATATATATATGTGTGTGTGTATTATAGATATTTTATTCTTTTTATATATATATATGTGTGTGTATTATAGATATTTTATTCTTTATATATATATATATATATGTGTGTGTATTATAGATATTTTATTCTTTTTTATATATATATATATATATATATGTGTATTATAGATATTTTATTCTTTTTATATATATATATATTATAGATATTTTATTCTTTTATATATATATATATGATATTATTTTATTCTTTTTTATATATATATATGTGTGTATTATAGATATTTTATTCTTTTTATATATATATGTGTGTATTATAGATATTTTATTCTTTTTATATATATATATATGTGTGTATTATAGATATTTTATTCTTTTTTATATATATATATATATATGTGTGTGTGTATTATAGATATTTTATTCTTTTTTATATATATGTGTGTATTATAGATATTTTATTCTTTTTTTTTATATATATATATATATATGTGTGTATTATAGATATTTTATTCTTTTTATATATATATATATATATATATGTGTGTGTATTATAGATATTTTATTCTTTTTTATATATATATATATATGACTGCTGCTAAGAAAGTTAGTTCACTGTGTCATGCAAGACATTTTTTTTTTCTCTCCAGAATCTATCTTACATATCTATAAGTCTACCATTCGTCCATGCTTTGAATATTGTGCCTTCTTGGGCTAACGTTCTCAGCTGAGGTGAAGTGAAAAGACTATATTAAATCCATTCCTAGGTCAGCTGCTAAGAAAGTTGGTTCACTGTATCGTTCAAGACAATTTTTCTTTCCAGAATCTATCTTACATATCTATAAGTTTACCTTATGCCCTTGCTTAGAATATTGCTCCCACATGTAGTCTGGTGTCTCTGCTATTTACCTTGAGTTCCTTGATATGATCCAAAAAAGAATCATCAATATTATTGGTCCTGATCTGGCTGCTCAGCTTGAGTCACTTTCCCATCGCCATAAGGTTGCCCCAGTCTTTTCTTTAAATACTTTCATGGTAATTGTTCGGATGAGCTCTTCACTATGGTACCTAGACTTTTTGAATTTAAGTGCTGTACTAGGGTGAGGTCTCATCAATTTACAGTTGAGCTGGCTCGATGTAACTGTAAATCTTATGCTAACAGTTTTTCTCGCACTTCTCACTTTTCATGCTTTCCAACCAGCTTTGCATTTTAACTTTTGAAGATGAATGTCAAATGCTATCCTCCTGATTGTTTTTCTTTTGTTCTCACTCCTTATTAATGTTTCTTTTGTTCTCACTCCTTATTAATGTTTCTGTTTTCTAATTCTTCCACACCTAGTAACTCCTTGTGTCTGAGTGGCTTTACTGCCTTGTTTGGGTGAATTTGATTAAAAAAAAAAAAAAATTCCCAAACAATTATAGGGTTTGCCTGTCCAACTTTTTATATTGTCTCTTCAATTTCTGACTGAGGTGTTTAACAACAGGGCTAAAATTGTTTATAAACTGTCCAAGATTTTTTTCTTTTTTTTTTTTTTCTTCAAGTACTTTTGACTGCAACTAATCAGCAGGTTAAGCAAGATGCATTTAAATAAATTCCAACGTTTTTAGATTGCTGGAATTAGAATTCAAATCAGTTAAAGGTGACCTCATCTACAGCGGTCAAAGGGAAAAACAAGTATACTTGCTCTTTTCTTCTTTTTCATTTTCTTTTCTCTCCCTCTCCTCTCTCTCTCACCTATACAGAAAGCTGAAGATTTGTTACCTATTGCCCAGTTCACAATTTGCCTGTCTTTTGAACAGGAGTAGAGATTTATTCCTTGTTTCCTGTTTAGGATTGGGTTTCCAGTTCCTTCTAAAATCTTCTCATTCTCTTTCACTCCCAGTAGCCCCTTACATCTTAGTGGCTTTAACACCTTGCTTGGGGTGAAATGATTTAAAAAAAAAAAATCATATATATATATATATATATGTGTGTGTGTGTGTACATAATATATGATACTGATAGACTTTTGCGTTGATTTTGATAAATGAGGATCTGACAACCTCATTCGTTTTTAGGTTTGTGTCATATGTGACACTTCAGTCCTGCTAGTGACCTGCATACAAGCCCACATATTGTGCAACAAAGAGAATCTCAAGATATAACAGGAATAATTGCTGATGCTTTTCACTATCATCTTTTTGTCTCTTAGCCAGTCAATACAACTGATACCACTCTGGCACAAATATCTCCAGTTATTTCTATCCAGGGCAACTTGCTTGAAGTTAGTATGAGGCACATTGACATCTGAGAGGTTACTCTTTAGCTTATATGTATGCATATGTAAATATTTCTCAGGAATTAACTTGTAGAAACGTCAGGTCTAAACGGCCCTCCCTCTGTAAACACAGGTAATGTATGTTAGGGCTTGACATTATTTCCATCTGATTGTTCTATATTTTATATTTTAATATCTAGTCTTCCCTCGATTTCAGCCCTGTTGAGTGAGGGTGAAACTGGTTGGCTGGTTAGATTTTTTTTTCTTTTTACATACACACACATATATATATATATAAAAAGGACAATAGGAAAACTGTAGTTTTAGCCAACATGTTTTGTCCAGTATGGACATTTCAAGGCAAAAACAAAATGAATTTGTTGTTTATAGGTACTTTGTTTCAATAAACAAAATGCCATTAACAACTAGAAGAATTTAGAAATGCTATTGTATATTTATATGGTCAACTGAAAAATAATATCAACTTTCCTAACAGAACCACTACTCTCCCAAGCCAACGTACAAAAAGAATATATCAAGAAATCAAAAGAAAACAGTTCTCCCAACAATATTTCTACATGGGGAAAATATTCTCTTCAAACATAAAAACGTAATTGATGTAATTTTTAGTTGACCAAATGAATATACAATATAAATTCTTTTAGTTGCTAACAACATTTTGTTTGTTGTTTATAGATACTTTGTTTTAATAAATTCATTTTGCTTTTTGCCTTGAAAAGGTTCACATTGGACAAAACATGTTGGCTAAAATTAGTTTTCCTATTGTCCTTTATATATATATATATATATATATATATATATATATATATATATATATATATGAAAAAATATACGGAAAAACAAATATCCTAATATGCAATTATACGTTTTAATGTTAATATAATGTCAATGTCAGACGTTTCGGTCTAGTAGACTATCTTCAGGACATATTCATAAAACATAATTAACATTAGACTATATTTAATTCAACATGAACTACTAGACCGAAACGTCCAACATTGACATTATATTAACATTAAAACAGCATAATTGCATATTAGGATATTTGTTTGTTTTTTCCGTATATTTTTCTTCATACTGTCTGATCTATATCCATATATTTGCTTACATATATATATATAATCCGAGAGTATCCTAGTAATATGAAAAATATTAGAACTGACCAAAAAAGGGCATGATTCTTAAGTTGATCATATGAATATAAAATAACATTTCTAAATTCTTCTAGTTGCTAATGGCATTTCGTTGTTTATAGATACTTGAAAAAATCTACATCAGACCAGGCACATTGGCTAAAACTAAAATGTTCCTCTTGTATTTTTCCCTTATATATATATATATATATATAGGTGAAGATACATAATATACAATGTTGATAGCATGACTCGGTTGTTCATGCAGTTGCTGCAATCTTCAGGTGCAAATACAATTTGATCGTTAATTCATATTCTTGTGGTGATCATTCAAAATTTTGAGTTAAAACTTCTTTATTTAATTATTGACTCCTAATATATTAGATTTAACTAATAATAATTTATATCATTTAAATTCATAAGTTGGAAAGCCAAAAAAATAATTTATATCATTTAAATTCATAAGTTTGAAAGCCAAAAAAAAAAATTTTTTTTCTTAAATTATTTGAATTCAAAAGTAAACAAAATATCAAGGGGGGTAACTCTCATCTTAACATGGAGTTCATGCTCAAACCCTGCCAAAAGTCACATTTTCTTTGGTAAGACTCTCAAATGCACAAGCCAGTTGGGAATTCCATGTGCTGCAGCAGGTGGTGTAATGGATAATGGCTTGGAACTAAAAATTGGAAAGCAGAGTTCTGTCCAACCATTTGTCGCCTTCATGTCCTTCCTTGGTTGTCCAAGTGTCCAACACCCACAGCTGATCAGTGAGATGATCGCTTTGATCTCGACCTTGCCTTATCCCACATTAGTTTTCTTTTCATTTACCAGCACTAAATAGTGTCACAGTTCTAATTCCGAGTTGGGTTCATTATATTCACTTATGTGCAAATACAATTGGGGAAGACACAAATCCACCTCTTCTCCTCCTAGCTATAGGTTAATTAGTAGGTCATGTACGTATCAGTAAAACATCTCCCAAAAACTTCATAGAATCGAACAAAAAATGGTTTTTAGCTTTAAATAACCTGCAAAAGGTTATTCATTATTATGACTTGTACCTTTTTAGACGAAGATTTTAATTTTATTTTGTTTGTTTTTCTGTAGAAAATATCTTCATGGAGCCACAACCAGATTACTTGCTAGATGATAATTCCGACAGTTACTATGGCGATGAGACAGATTATCACCCAGCTAATGGTGGGGTGGATGAAGATGTGCTCATCCAGCCCAAAAAGTTGATCAACCCTTGTATGCAGTCGAAGGAACGACGAGATTTACACAAAGAACTTTTATTCAATCACAAACAGTAAGTAACACTTGTAATTTTATTAAAGGTCTAGAAAGTTCTTCATGTTACTGTAATTCTTTTGTAACTCTTCAAAATAATCCAGGAAAGAAGATACAGATATGATACCCCAAGTGTACATGTGTCGTTGATCAAGAAATCAAGGCAATAGAACTCATCCTTGGGCCAGAAGCACTGTACTGGTCTGACACCAAAGTTACCGAGAGAAGCTCATATATGGGGACTAAAAGACCCACTGGAAGATGTGGAGGTGACTTAAAGTTGCTTGGTAACTACTTAAACTCAACATTATACAGTGCCCCCCCCTCCCAAATTGACATAATTTAAAATTGGAATATCTGAGTCCCAGGCAAATGGAAATTAAATAGGCTTCATGTTGCACTATAAAAGATTTATCAAAATTTAAACATGATATTCAAAGAGAAGTAGATTTTTTTTATAACCGATTTCACAAAGATTCAAGTCAGGTCAGTAGTCCAGCTCGTGCCAAACACGCTGTAGCAGGTCTTGTGTAACATTCTCCAGCATCAATGATTCTCTGCTTAAGTTCCTCAAGGTTTGTAGGACTAGGGAGATATAGACCTGTCCTTTCACATAGCCTCCATAGAAAAACAACACAAGGTGACAGTGATGGCCATTTCAACAACACATTGTCATTATCACTGACACACCCAATCCATCTTCCTTGTAGATTCTCATTGAGATAAATCTGCAGTCAACATAAATTTTAACAAAATGTGTAAAAACTAAGATGATTGGTTATGTTATTACACTACAAAAAGATGCGAATTTTTTTTGGGGGGGTGGACACTCTGTGTAAGAAAATTTTCCTTACATTTTTCTTTTTTTAAAAATAGCATCTAACTTTGTTTATATAATAAACATCTAATATGTAAAATAGTAAAATTTTTATGATTGCTACCAGTAAAATGTATTTTGAATGAATCTTGTATTTCACAGGCTTCAAGGGAAGTAACTCTTCACGTTTGTCATCCTGTAAACCTGGTTACCGTATATGTTCGCATACAAAGCGACCTTTTAACCTTAAAAAATTTCCCACAAAAAATATAACCTTAAAAAAATTTCCCACAAAAAATAGGGGGCTGTCTTGTACTACAGATATAAAATGTGAACCTCAAACTCTTTGGTTTATGGTAAGTTGTCAGCATGGGACAAAAAGTAGCCTCTGCCTTGGTAACTATTGACACAAATATTTTTTATTGTATAAGTACTACTTTGACAATTAAAATAATTTAAAAAGTAATAAAAACAATATACTCTTGTAAAAATCAAAATTTCTATGATTTTACATTAATTTATTTTTTTTTTTTTTTTTTTAATAACTCAGTTGTTAAAATTTAAGGATTCTAGAAAATAATGCATTTTTAAATTAAAAAATACTAATTTGGATTTTTATTAATTTAATTAAGTTGCAAAATGACTAAGCTTAAATTTATTTGTTTAAAAGCAAACAAATAAATCATTAGGATTAAACCTGTTAATCTTTTACTACACAAAAAATAGTTTGGTAAAAAAAATAAAATGGACTGGTAAAAATAAAATAGACTGGTAAAAATAAAATAGACTGGTAAAAATAAAATAGACTGAAAAAGGAATAAAATAGGCCTAATTTATTCAGCAGTGAAATATTAACCTTTATATACCTGTATCTTTTTATTTTTTTTTAAAGTGATGACACCAGTATTTACACTTATAGCAGCTGATCATGCTATTACCAGGTAATATTAAGTGTACCAAATAGATTATAGCAGAGGTAATGGTAAGTGTAGATTGTGGTAGTGAATTGACAATATCTAATACTGAACAAAAATACAACAGGAGGTGTGTCTCAGCAAGTCTAAACATTTGCAAACCTTGGGACGAATGGATGGTTAGTGTGGAAAATTCATTCAGGTTACTGTAATACCCTACTGAAAACATAGACACCCACACAAGAGATGTTTGTAGATTGTGCTAATTAATTGACAATATCTCTCCATGTTTTTTTTTTATTAGAATTCAAATGAAAAGAAAGTATATGCTTACTGAATTTATTTAATATTTAAAAATATGATTTGGGGGTGGGGGGTGTCTTAGCCTGAAACCTACATTTTAATTTGGAAGGCTGCCTTATACGCCAGCATATACGGTGTTCATTTCTCCCCATCTTCGATAATGCTTATTAAAAAGTTTTTTATTTAAGCTAAAGTGTTTTCTGATAAGAAATTAATCTGTGGCAAATTGAGTACTAATCCAAAATCCTCAATTGTTTACACCCCCACCACCATCAGAAGGTGTGGCATTGAATTGATTATCATCTGAGAGAATTAAGAAAATTTTTGAATGATTGATTGAGTGGAAGGGGGTGTTGATTCCAAAAACTGAAATCTGGGTCAGTAATTAAGTGGACCAGCAGCTAATTTGTCCCACACCCATTTTTTGAATCTCATTACATTTTGTTAAATAGGTCTAATGGGGGCTGCTTTACACATGAGCAATGGATAATGAGCTGATTTTGCTACTGCTGCATGACCTTCCATATGGAATGATGTTGAGAGTGCCCTATATTTGTGACCTTTTGTCATACTTAAGCTCAATTTAATAAAAGTGGCTCCACAAACAATATTTGTTAACAAGCATCTCTTTCAGATATAGGATCAATTGTTATCCTACATTGATGTCATTGGGGGAACTCGTTACCGAGTATTAGGGTGCTCATCGTCATTTCCTTCTGTGCAAAATGAATCCTATGTTGGATCTGAAGAGATGTCTGCAGCCACCGCAAAGTAGGGTAGGAGGGTTCAAAGGATGAAGAGCTCTGGTTTTTCTTTGAGCTCTCTTCGTCTCTTCTCTTCGTCTCTCTTGGTGTTTTCCAAGGATAATGTTTTGTTTTGTTTTTTTCTTGAACTGCTCTTCTCTAATTGGTTCTTTCTACAGTTTTCGTCTCCCAATTGACCAGATTGATTTTTGTCCTCAACAATGTGTTTTTCAGCTGATCCTTTATTCAGTGATGGGGGCTTCACATGGTCAGATGTGAGTTCCAAGAAGAGGATTTGTTTGGGTAGGCAGATGTCTGACATTTGGGCAAAGTGTCAGTGGCGAGTTATGATGGTCTCTAGGCTCTCCATCTTTGCATGGAAGGGAGAACTTTATTGCTTATGATCCTGTCCTACAATGTGTTTTGTCTACTAATGTTCACCTCCTATACAAGGCCCAAGAGCCACTCAAAGGATTACTGAAGGCAGCATGATTGGTATGAGTAGTCTAAGAAATATGTAATTCATTTACAATTCTGAATGATTCCTCACACCAGAGACATTTTTTTTTTTGCTTACTCATTGTTGTTGGCAGATCTTGTTATTGAGTATTAGGGTGTTCATCATCATTTCCTTCTGTGCAGAATAAGTCCTATGTTGGATCTGAAGAGACGTCCGCAGCCACTGAAAAGCAGGGTAGGAGGTGGTTTTTTCTGCAGCTTCTGTCTCCCAATTGACTGGATTGATTTCTACCCTCAGTAAGGTGTTTTTGAGCTGTGTCCTTGAATCATCAATGTGGGCTTCCACGTGGTCCCTTGCCAGATGTGAGTTCCGTCAAGAGGATTTGTTTGGGTAGATGGATATTTGGCATTGGGGCAACGTGTCTGGCCTATCGAAGTCAGTGGCAAGTCATAATAGTTTCTATGCTCTCCATCTTTATGCAGAGGAGAACTTCATTGTTCGTGATCCGGTCCTGCCACGTCTTCCGCAGGATTTGACAGAGTTTGATTTGATGGAATCTTTCAAATTTGTGGATGTCTCTACAGTAGATTTCAAACAGGCGTACAAGAGAATCTAGATTACAACAGCTCAGTAGGCCACGAACTTGTTGGTTTATGCTCAAAGACTTTTCTTATTTTACATGCACTCCTTAAAACAACACTATTCAGTAATCCTCTACCTTGAGTGGCTCTTGGGCCTTATAATGGGTGGACAATAGTATAAAATGATAAGCACTGAGTGCTGTATGTGTGGTCTTTTACCTAACCAAGCTTTTTTTTTTTTTTGATAGAGAATGAATAAGATTCTAATGATAAGAGCTTGTAACAAAATTAGGCAAGAAATATGGCAAAACAATGTAAAAGGGAGCAACACAAATGTAGAAAGACCAACACTGATGTTTCATGGCTTACACAAGAGCATTTGATTTGGTGTGACACAATGAACTACTTGAACTACTAGGAAAGCTACATTTATATAGGAATGATGTCAGTGAATATACAAAAATAGAGTAATGCAAGGACTTTTTTTTTCATCTCATCTAATTTATTTTGATGGCAAACTGAAAGAACAAGATAGTTAGCAAAGGAAAGCATGAAGAAAAGACTATTAACTATAAGAAGATAGAATGATAAAAAGTCAATACAGAAATTTAACAGATGATGGAAAATTGGTAAATCTGAAGATGCTTAAGAATAGTGAAAGATGCCTTCCAGAAAGTAAGCAAAGAGAAAATGTATTTAGAAACAAAGCTCCTCTATAGCAGTGAATGGATGCTTTGAATACAGTCAACTGAACATGTTAGCAATGAATTTTACGGAAAATAAGAATTATACAAAGAGTTGAAATTTCTGGGAGACATAATGAGGAAAGAAGGTTTGGCAAATTTCACTCTCATAAGAATAGATTGAAATGGGTCAGCAGACAGACACTTTCTGATTATTGGATGTGATAAGGTGATTTGATTTATTTTGTCTTTCATTCTAACCAGGAGTCAAACACAGCAGACGTTCTTTCAGCAAAACACGCCATTTATAGCTTTTACATTTTCTCATTATCATATATCAAACCACGTAATAATCAATGTGTATGTATTTATATATTTCCTGTCCCATCTGTAGTGTGAAGGGAGGTAAATCAACTTGAGTTAGTATATTTAGGAGTGATTACTTCCCTTAGTCATTTTAATAATCTATACAAATAAAATTATCTGCATTTAGACAAAATGAACCATTTCATTAATCAGTTCCTTTATACCTACGTTTCTCAGATTGCAGTCTTATTTGTTCAAGCCTTTCATGTGAGGCACTCAGATATCTTTCCATTTCACTGTTATATTAAACACAAAATTTTTAATATGAAAAGATATTAAGAAAAAATCAATTTCTTTAATACTCAGAGTAATCAATGAATTGGGTGTCATTGACCATCATTAAACAGGTCATTGGCCTCAATTTTAGTTGTGAATTCTTTATTTCCAATTTATTGAATCTCAAAAGATTGTTTCAAGATTTTGTTTCATTGCATTTCACTATTAAAACTTTCTAACAATTGCCATCATTTTTGACAGCTCGGGTAAACTAGTATATATCGTATTTGTCAACTTTATCCTGTATCCAAGAATTTAATTTCTTTTCTGATGATTGCGTTGATGATTAAGTAGACCAATTCTTGCATAGAAGAGCTGATGGTATTGTTGCTTGAGGATGAGGTTGAATTTTGGCAAGCCTTTCTCTCTTTTTGTTTAACTTCTTCCTTTTCTCTTCTGGTGGCTTTGAAGGTTTTGGTTCTGATGCTGATGGAACATCACCAGTTGGTATAGTCTTGTGCTTGTGTTTCGGTTTCAAGACCAGTGACTTTCAGTGTTTCGAGTTGGTCTTTGTATTTTTGAAGAGGGTAACCTTGTGGTTTTTTTCCCCTGAAGTGACTTTGCACGAGTTGGTTAGAGGTAAAAGAAAGTGCCAATGGTGTGAATTTGCTTAAGGTGGACCTCAGCTTGCCAAGAAGTGACCCACACACTTGATTTCGGGACTTTCCTCTGCGACACATATGGGATGAGACATGCAGCATCCAGTTATGAAACTGCAATGGACTGCTGCTAACTCTGTTAGCATATATATGATTCTTTAAAAACTTTCATTTATGTTATAAAAGAATGATTTTAAAATTGTTTCTTTCAGATATTTTATTTTAACACTTTACATTTGTTCGAACTGTAGTCCTTGTTTTTCATTATCATATTTATGTTTCAGGTACTGTACACTGTGGCCTTCTTGAAATTTCAAACTGAACCCTTTAGTCTACGTGAGTAGATTGTTCTATTTCCACGTGCCCTGACTTTTTGGGATATCTCAGGCATGGCATCTGGAACAAGAACAATCTACCACGTCAGACTAAATAAAGGGTTCAGTTTGAAATTACAAAAAGGCTTGTGCATACAGCGGCTGAAATGTTGTGAATATGATGAAGGATAATGTAAATTGTGTAAATAGATACACTACTTCATTTCAGAAATACAGTTATATTTTATTTTATGTTTTTTTTTTTTTTTTTTTTTCGCATCAGTGGTAAGAATGTCTTGAAAAAACCAGAACTTGAAAAAGTCCTGCAACAAAGGAAAGAAGCCCAGAGAATTAAAGAATGGGATGAACAGAAATCGGTAAACAAAAGAACGAGTCTAGAACTCATGTTGGAAGAGAGGAAAAACCGACTCTCACAGGTCAGTATCAGGAATGACAAACTTTCGGTTTATATTTTTTCCATTTTTTAGAGTTGCCAAATTAACATATTCTGCAGAAATCAAATGCACCACAAAAAGGGGTGAAATAGCAATAAAAGATGCATAGATATATTAAACTTGTTGATACAAATAAACATGATACCATTATATAGGTTACACAACAACCAACCTTTCTTGCAGACTTACATGCCATTTATCAAACTTGTTGATATAAATACATATAAGATATGTCATTTATAATAAAAATTAAAACCAGTTATCTAATCCTCAAAATTATAAAACCAGTTATCTAATCCTCAAAATTATTTCTGAAGGCCCTGAACCCTTACATAAGATTAATGTTGTTTATGCATTTATCTGCATCTGGAGGGGGATGTTAACGATTTTTTAAAATTTTTGTATTTATTATTAAGAACAAAGTTAACAATTTTTGGTCGTCTCTGGCTGACTTTTTCCCAATTTAGTCAATAAAATCTACATTTAATTTTGACTTTTTTAAGGTTCTAGATGCATCTACATTTAATAAGGTCATACAACTATTTTATTTCTACAACATTTTAAAATAACAGATTGACATGTGATCGTCAGCTATGTAGGATTGATTTGTACATCAATAATCTTGTCTATTTTTTATAAGTAGTTTGCTTGCTAGCAATGCTGCCAGTGTTGATTTTTTTTTTTTTTTTTTTTTTTAAAACTTAGATCTGGGTTTATCAATTCCTGTGTTGTTTATTAACTTTGAAATTTGAAAGGGTGTTGAGCAGTGATATACTTTTTGTAGTTAAGCAACTCCTGTCAGCTGTGGCCTCATCATCTGGTGATGAACGAGTTTTCTCATCCTATGGACTGATGCATTCCAAACTGAGATACCATCTTGGTATGGATAAAGCAGCAAAACTAGTCTTTATTTAAATCCATGAATGTAAACACTGTTCATGTTTAAATTGAATTTTAAAATTTGTTAATGGTTAAAATTTTTATCTTATAGTAAAAAAAAAAATCTAGTTGATTTAATGTTTAACACTTTTCTTTGTGAAAACAAAAAAATTGTAAAATTGATTTAAATCAGTTTTCTTTGTTAAACTATTTTGAATCATAATTTAATCAAATGATTTGATTTAAATTGAAAAACCCTAATGGATTTTTTTTTTTTTTTTTTTTTTTTTTTTATGCGTAAGCATTTATCAATCTAACATGTTTCACTTTTATTAAACATTCATTAGAAAATGAGATATAGAGAAAAAGAAATTCTGTTATTTTTACTTTTGTGGTGTTTGATTCTCATTGGTTAATCAGGTTTCACTTGCTTTTGACTTGTTAAACAAATGTTAGTATAATTTATGGCATTTCAAATCCAAGAAATTAACGGATTCCAAGCCTAACTAAAAACAAAACCCTAAATATTGCTTTATGTAATTGTATAATAATTATAGTTTGTCTATATAGCATTCAGATTATAATATGTGTGTGTCTAGTAAAAATTGTTAGTTTTTTTTTTTTTCTTTTTTTCTTAATGTTGGGGACGTTTTTTCTTACATGCATACCACTTGTTTTCGATAAATGTGTTAGATTCTTTAAGGAAGGTTGGTCATGTAATATAATGTTTTTAACATGTGTTTATAGTTGGTAATTCCCCAAAGTACTTTTGATGTAAAGAATTATGCTCTTTTTAATTAGTAAGATTAAAGTTATGGCCAGTTTTCTTCCTTTGTATTACCAGCTAGTTTAAATGGTTGTCTAAATGCAAATCTCTCTTGTGTTCATAGACACTGGCTTTTAGATTTTGAGAAGTCCTAGTATTACAGATAACTAATTTATTTTTCAAGTTCATTATGTATATAGCCATAACCAAGCAGTAGTAAAATAGAACAAGACCATTTTCAAAAATTTAAATGCAATGTCAGTTGTTATCTTCTTGCATCTTAGTGGCTTTGTTGTTGTGTCTTAGTACTTCTCAGTTATTGCTGGACGCATTAGTTACATTCAGACTAAATCCTTAACTTTGTTATTAACATAGGGTTGGATGATTGACACACTATAACTTAAAAAGTTAACTAAGCAATGCTGAACAAGATTTCCTGAGGCATGGACAGTGGAATGAGAGCACCCCCCCCAAAAAAAAAAGATGAAATAAAGGGCTCAGTTCAAAATTCCTTGGAGGCTACCCAGATCTACAAACACCTAATGAAGACTCACCTTTTCACTTAGATCACCTTCACTCTAAGATGGCTTCCCACTTATTTCTGGATTTTTCAATACACATGAGGCTAGTTTAATAATTGGCCAATCTTATAACTTAGCAGTGCCACCTGTGTAGATCTACCTTTTGCAAGGTACCCTGACATTGTCGATATTGATTCCTAGAAGTGGAACTTAACTGAAGCTTGGAATGAAATACCTCTTGACATTATCTGCAAAGCAACTGCTTCCTGGTTACCACACTTACAACTTTGTGTTGAACATTCAGACAAACATTTTGAACATCTATGATGATGATTGTGTACAAATGAAGATAGCTAAAAAAAAAATTTATTTCTGAATTTACTGCTTTTTTTTTTTTTTTTTTTTACTGGGTAACCTGTAATAATAACAAAAATGAGGACAATAAATAACTCGTCATTCCAGAAATTCAAAGTGTTAGGTATGCCTTCTCAAAGATATAGGCAAACTCAAGAATAGTTTTAAATCATGGCTTTTTGAAATCACAAATGAAAATTAAATGCTTAATGTTTGTTTTAAAATATTTAAAAATTTTTTTTTTTTTTTTTTTTTTTTTTAGGAAGAAGACAAAGGTGAAAAATTAAAACATGCCAATGCAGAATTTGAAAGTCGACCAGAATACTTGAAGGTCCATGCCAAAATTCATGCCAAGGTGGCTGCAAATGCTAATAAAATGGAATGATTCCGTTTTTGTCATTAATTTAGAAAAAAAACACAAACTCAGTGGTGGGCTCAGCGAACTGAATAGACAGGCATTCAAGCAGAGTCCTCTCCCCTTGGCACAATAAATAAATAAACACACCTACATACACCTCTATCTGTACAAAGATGGCCAGCAAGTTCTTTGTCCACTCAACCATGGCTATTTTATTCTCAAGGAGGCTTAGACCTGATAAATTTCTTTTTTTTTTGCCTGCTTCTTCAGCCATACACAATATTGTATGATATCAACTTTTCAGTCCAAAACCTCTTTGAGAAAAAAAACAAAAATACAACCAATAAAGTGCGCGGACATTCCAGGATGGAATCCCTTCTCCAAGTTTGCTTGCTGCCTTTGCTAACTTTTCTTCTGCCAGTTATTTGCATCAAGACCTATGAACATTTTTCAATCAAATTTTGATACGCTTTACAAGAAAATTTCTGTCAGGGTCCACAGCAAAGATGGAGGTCAGCAAGGATTAAAAAAAAAAAAAAAATAATGGAGACCAGATTATGTTTATACTGTTTAGCAATGTCAAATAACTTTTCTAAAACAAAATGCTCACTTTTGGCAATTTATTGTTTTTGTTTTTTTTTTTTTTTTTTTTTTTTCTGACAATTTCTAAATTTCTTTTTCAGAAATTCAACACTGTTTGAATAACTGAACCTCTTATTCATATGCTTGCTTTTCTTAACACAAACATACATAATATATATATATAGAGAGAGAGAAAAAAAATATCTATTTTGGATGTAACATTAACAATAGCAAATTAGATCCAAGTGTTTACCAATTGCTACGTATGTTTATAAACAATAAATTGTAACAGTTTTAAAAAGAACCTTCCCCCACTTTTCTTCAAGATAATCTAGATAATTTAAAACCTCCCCACTCCCGTTGTTGATGAGTCATCTTTTGAAAATAATATTTTAATAACAAACCAAGTCAAGAAAACTGGAATCGGGAAATGTCTCAAGAAATAAATGTTGGAATTGGTACCTGGTATTGATCATTTTGTCCAAGATTAAATTTCTAAAATGGTGCAAAAATGTGATATGCATTCCAATTCCTTAAAATTGTAAGTACTATCTTGAGAAAACAAACTCAGGAATCACTTTTTCCTTTTCCACAACAGAAAATGCCACTGTTTGAAATTATTTTTTATTAAATTGTGATTAAAATTAAAAAAAAATAAAGCTAAATATTTGACTTAACAGAAAAATAAAAATTGAACTTTTTAGCTTAAAGAAAAGAAAATAGTGTTTGTTAAATACAAGTTGATTTTTTATTTATTTAAAAAAATGTTTAGTTAATTATTAGATGTATGTAAAAATGGATTGTGAAAAACAGTTGGATATTGAAGTTTTTTGGGTTTTTTTTTTACATATGAAGTTTTGCTACTTTATGTGAGCATTTTCTCAACGTGTGAAAACATTAAGAAAAAGTTGTTACCATGGTAACAACTTTTTCTTAGCGTTTCCAGCTGTGTTTTGAAAATGGTCACATCAAAAGCATAAATAAAATTTCAAAGAAAAAAAAATTTTTTTTTAAAACATCTAATTTGTTTTCATGTATTCTATTATTACATACACTGCCAGATATTTCATAACAATTATTTATATAATAGTATTTTGCGATTGAAAACTCAGGAACTTATTTTCTGTGAAGGAAAAAAAAAAAAAAAAAAAATCTTGTTGCATTTAAGTCATCACGTTGGTACCAGAATCTTTTTTTTCTTTTCTTCTTTTTTTTCCTCTTGATGATAAATTTTTAAATCCACTGTTTACATATCTTCAAGATGAGAAAAGATATTTGACAGGGATGAAAAATTATTTACTTCTAAAAATCAAATAATTTCATAAGGCTGATTAAATTAGGCTATATATATATATATATATATATATTTTAAAGACATTTTATGTTTAACATTCTTTTATAGATACAAGTATTTTAGTAAATGCTCTGTTTTATAATAAACAGTATTAAATAACATTTACCGGCCTAAAACAGAGCATTTACTAAAATACTTGTATCTATAAAAAGGATGTTAAACATAAAAATGTCTTTAAATAATTGTCGGACTTTGTCCATTTCATAATGTGTGTGTGTGTATATATATATAATCTTATTCATTAACAGCTGATAACAAAAATTTGCTTCATACAGTTCTATGCCTCAAGTAAAAAATATAAATTTCTGACCCCTAAAATGAGTTTATTCATTAACGGAGACTTAGTAAAGTTAAATTTCTATGATCTATTAAAAAAAATGTAAAAGAAATTTCTGAGATGAGGTATTATATACACTATTTACATTATTCAGACTATTGTCCTCATCTTTGTTGCCATATTTATCACAATGTTTCGGCCATTGTACGCTCTGGCCTTCTTCTGGTGGTTGGAATGTCGAACTGAACCCTTTATTTCATTCACTGGAGTAGACTGTTCTAGTTCCACTCTCCAAGTTCTCCACTGCCTTAACCAGGTATTGAACTCACACTCTGGGTCCTGTCACTGGATCTAACTCATGCCTTTATCCACTATGCCATGTGTCCTTGAGGACACATGGCAGTGTGCGAGTTCAATACCTGGTTAAGGAGGTGGAAAACTTGGAGAGGGGAATTAACAGGAGATAACTGACATCCATTAGACATGGCACATGGAACTAGAACAGTCTACCCCAGTGAGGGAAATAAAGGGTTCAGTTCGACATTCCAACCACCTGAAGAAGGCCGGAGTATACAAAGGCTAAAATGTGATAAATGTGGCAACAAAGATGAGGATGGTAGTCTGAACAATGTAAATAGTGTAGATTTTGGACACTAGTTAGAAATGTCTCAATTAGAAACTTTCTAGTAAATTAAATTTTTAACCTTTGCCACCATTGGCATTTAAATGATTTTGTTGTTAAACATTTCAGTCAAGCAGTTAGTACACTATATACTAATATATATATATATTTTTTTTTAAAGGAAACAAAAATAGATTAACACAATATCAGTTTCTGGGATGGGGAGTTACCATTATTCACAGACTAAATGTCCTCATCTTTGTTGCTATTATCACGTTTCGGCCATTGACTAAAAAAAAGACCAGAGGACACTCAACAGATAGATTATTTGCATCCTGTTGTCAAATGTCTAGAGTTATCTCATCTTATTCTTTTTTCTTTTTTTTTTTAAATTCTGCTAAACAGTGAAAAAAAAAAAGCAAGTGCAGTAACTGATTTGTATGGGATTATTGCTAGACAGTGAAACAAGAACCTGGTTTCATGGGTTAAATAAACTGTTAAGCTCAAAATTTCCTGAAGGGAGACACTTGAAGCGGTCGAAATAGGAAAAAAGATGAGGATATCAGTAAGATGTGATGACATTGTAAATTAAAATGTATGAGAAGCTTATAAAGGCATTTTGTCCAAAATTATTACAAAGATTAGTTGTATGCAATGACCAGAGGAGTTGTGATTTTTTTTTTTTTTGACACTTGTTACTTTGTTGGCTGAGAACTCGGGGTGGGGCAAAACATTGTTGTAGGTTAAATATTAGGACTTAGAAGCAAAAAAAATCTTTAATCTCAAAACCAGATTATATAAAGATTTTATTCCCGCCTCCCAACAATGACTCAAAAACAAAAAAGAATTAACCTTAAAGCCTGTTGTAAATTATACAAAGCTGTACATTTAGCTTAAAAATGACTAGAGAAAAAAAAAAAATTTTTTAATTGACTCAAATTTTTTTTTTTTAAATCTGCATTGTAAGTCAGAAGATGAGTCTTTTGCCTTTGAACTTAAAAAGAAAAATAACACTCTTATTCGACATAACTCCTCTTAAAAGATTATTCTCTAGACCAGTGATTCTCAGTTGGGATCCACGGTAATATTTTAGTGGTCCATAGAGCAATTTCACTTTGGAGTGTTTGTTACAACAGAGAATTGGAATTTCTACAGTAATCTACATGATATTAAAATGCTAAAAGAAAAACAACTCTAAAACTAGCAGAAATCAAGATCAAGCCATACAAGTGTATATAAATGTTCCATAGAATTTACTTATTAAATACAAGTTTATTTTCATTAAATTAGTTTTACTTCAAAATAAAGCATATATAAATACAATTCCTAAACTTATCTATTATTAAAAAATAAAAAAAAGGGGGTTGAGAATCACAGCTCTAGACCAATGGTTTTTTGTAACTTCAGGGCATACTTGTAGAATAACAAACTCTGGGACGCACTTTAAATTTTAATAAGGAAAAATTGCTCATGAAATTTAAAAATATGAAGAATCTGTGTGTTTTTTTTAAGAGAGGTCGATAATGACTGATTTTAAATCCCTTGAGGAAGGCAAAATATTATGTACTTCTCCATAATGATTAAGTAATTTAGCATCCAGTTTAAAATAACAAAGACACAGAAGGTGCTTGGTGGTTCCAATTCTAAAAAATTTAAAAAAAAAAAAAAAAAAAATGAAGTGCACATTTAAGAAATACTGCTCTAGATAATTTCCAACTTTAATTTTTATCCAGGATCAAATATTGTTTTAAATTCATTATACAACTAAAGATTTCTGGGTAATTTTTAACAAGTCTGTCATACACACCTTCTCTGGGTCTCCCACTAATATAGCCCTGCATCAAAAGAAAAAAAGGGGGGGGGATTTTTCCCCTCCTCTCTAGAGATGAAACATAGATTTGGTGTTTAAAAAGTTAACTTCAGTTTTAATACTTAACTTTTAAATAATTCCAAGATGGAGTTGAATTTAAACTTCAAGGGAGATAACTGGGATAGGTTTCCTACTCAAATCCTTTTTCACAAAAGAAAAAAAATATATAATGGGTATTTTGATAAATATAAAAAAAAAAATAAATAAATAAAAGGAACTACTCAGGAACTGCAAGTTCAAATATATTTTAAATATGTTTTGCAAAAAAAAAAAATTATTTGTTGAACAAAAATTACTCAAAACTGAAATTCATTTGCAAGCA